GGCTAACTCCATACTACAACACAAGCCCCTCCACATCCTCCTCCCTTGCACTGCATTCGCCATGACCGCCAGCAGGAAAGCACCGTGGGACACTGTGTCGCTGGAGATGAAGCACACGGTGTCCACCCTTGCCGCCGCCTGGCATAGTTGTCGTGCCAGGCGGATCGAGGTCGGCTTGCCGGCCAGCTAGCCCAAAGTCTCCGCCGACGAGGACGACACCACGGTAGAGATGGGCTCCGACGACTCCGCCCCGGCTCTCGCGCCTCCTGTGCATGTCGGCTTCACCATGGAGCAGGCACAGGCGCACTTCAATGCTGCCATGGCGGAGGTGCAGCCGACGCCTTTGTCGGCGTTCCATCAAGTGCAGGAGGAACAACGGTACAACTTATTCCTCTTGGAGCAGTACCGGCTAGTGGAGGGACAGATCTACGGCGAGCGCGCGAGCGAGGAGGCCATGGCAGCCATGGCCGCGGTGAACCCAAATTTTATCGCGGAGCAGCGTACCATCTATGATGTCGTCTGTGCTCAAGTTGTCGCTCACCAGGAAGCAGCGACCGCGGAGGAGAATAACGCCAGCTACGCCTCCTGCGCGCCGCCGACGAACCATCAGTCGGCCCGGTGGGACGACGACAGCGCCGGTGCCACCATTTCCCTCATGGACCTCACGCCCACCGGCGAAGGACAAGGCACAGACTCCTCCGACGATGCGTAGGCCACAGGAGGCGACGGGGCTTCGTGTCCAATGTGCGCCGGTCCGTCTCCCGTGTTCTACTCTTCCTCACCGAAGACCGCACCTTCACTTCATCGGTCTTATCGCCGGTGCTCATGGAGACGGCGGAAGGAGGATGGCACGGGCTTGGACGCCAAGCGCCGCCGCCGTAGGATAGGTTTAGGGGTGGGTCTTTTTTTTCTCCAAATGTAATTAAAATCCGTCGTGTTTGTATGAAATTCGGCCGTGTTTGCATGAATTTCATCCAGTTTGCTGAAAAAGAGTTTGAAATGTATGCGGCTAGTGTTGGATGACATCCCCCCATATCCGTGTTCGCGTATTGACCTCACTTTGCACGGATGAATGCGGGAGGATTTTTGCGGCCGTTGGAGATGCCCTAAGTGAGTTATTATTTGCATTTGATCAAGAAATTGTGCATTTGAACGCTGATTCTGCAGGCTCTAATTAGTGCATGTATTGCACATGATGTTTATCTTTTTATTTCATGATAAAGAGAGCTTCCCCTATGATCACAATGTCTTATATAGCATGTTTATCCAAATACTCCCTCACTCCGAAAATACTTATCATCAAACTGGATAAAAGGGGATGTATCTAGATGTATTTTAGTTCTAAATGCATTTTTTTTATTAATTTTAGTGACAAGTATTTTCGGACGGAGGGAGTATAATTTAGCTTATGGAGTCCCATGCTTTGACAATTTGCTAGCTCCGCCACTTGTTGTTACCGTAGCCCCAAATTTTGTTACCAGCGAACGTTCATCAGATATTTGCCTATTTTTTACTCCTACATTCCATAATGTATGACGTTTTTTGATACTAGCGTAGTGTCAAAAAAAATCTTATATTATGGGTAGGAGCGAGTAAATTTTTATTTGGAATTGCCCCTTGCTAGTTCGTATAGGACAAGACCTGGTGTCCGACACGGTCACCGCAGCCCACGTGGCCCGACTTATCAAAGCCCGCCTCTGTTCGTTCTCTCCGGCTGTTGTTGGTTTTCTTTGTTGTTTCTGAACAATCAAATCAAATATAGAACATAATCAGATCGATCTCAGTTTACTTTACCCCACCCATCCATTACTTGTGGTGTCTATTACCAAACCGAGGTCCATCCATGGAAGAACTGATGAAGGAAGCACACGCCCTCTTCTGCGGCGGTTGGAGTACAAAAGAGTCCCAGGTTTTCATAAGCACGCTCCAGCATCTGCTGACGGCGGCGACCAAGATCAAGACCGACGACCCTGACGCGGCAAAGAAGACGAGGGTGTGCAAACCTCGTCTTCCCTGACGAAGAAACAAGAACAGAATACATCTTGGAGGGACACAACTGGAAAAGAGTAAGGGCCTCTTTGATTCGTAGGATTTTAAAAACATAGGAATAGGAAAAGTGTAGGGTTGAAGTGGCATGCCCATTTGAATCCTATAGAATTAGCAATGATTATTTGATGCCACGGGAAAAACAAAGGAATTGTAAAAAGAGGTTCGAGTGGATGTTAAATTTCCTATGAAATGTAGTACAGAAGATTCCATAGGAAAAATTCCTATAGGATCAAATCCTATGAATCAAAGGACCAACATAGAAAAAAATTCTAAGAATTTCAATCCTCCAGAAATCCTATAAAATTCTTTTGAATCAAAGAAGCCCTAAGAATATCAAGCGACGGGCATGGCAATCACCGATTCCAGATACGGAGCATCGCCGCCATCGACGGCAAGTTCTACTTCGACGTGACCTCCTCGAAGCTCGGCGTCCTCGACTTCCTCCCGGGCCCGGCGTTCACCATGATGGAGACCAACGGAGCGAAGGTCGCATGGGATTCCTGGGAGCTGGCGTTCCCTCATCTGGTGGAGTCCCGCGGGGGACTCTACCTGTTCGTCATCACTCATAATGCTCTGGCCGGCATCGCTCTCTACCAGATGGATTTCTCGTCGCTTGCGTGGTCCAAGGTGGTGGATCGCGTCTACGACCGGGTGTTCTTCCTGGGCAGGCTGCATTCCGCGGCGTCGTATGCTGCATGGGAGCTGGGTTTGACGCAGGGTAACGTCTACTATCTGGGGCCGTATGAGCTGCTCAACGTTTTCTCTGCCGGAGACAAGCATCGACCTCGCTCCAACTGCATACACGGGGGCGATCTGCCGGCTCCGCTGCAGGGCATATACGATGTGCTTACTAGAGCTTGTGGTGGTTTCATCATCGGCGGTAGCTAGAAGAAACGAGGAGAAGAACAATGTAGTATATCTTCAGTCATTCCGGTATATGTTTGTGCTCATCTAATTAATATAGGGTCGCGCTAACTGCCACACGTGTGGCATATACGACATGCGCCCACACACCATGTGTGGTGTACGCAGGAGGCAGCCCACACGGGTTGTGTGTGGGCGGACATTAGAATTGCCCACACGTGTGGGCGCGGCTATTTCGTGCCACACGTCCAACAAGTACTACTTATCTTCACCCCGTGTGTGTGGCACGAAGCAAAAATGCTCACACGTCCTAGCGCAGCTACATTAAGTACTCCGCGGGATGACGGTTTAGTTGCCATCCTGGTTGGCAAATGTAGTTATCCGGTATGGCAACTGTAGTTATAAAAGTATGGCAACTCTATCTGTTTTGGTTAAATATAGTTGCCATGTCTAATTTATGATAGTTGCCGCGTGTAATCAAACCATAGTTGCCGTGTGTGATTAGCTACTTGCCATATATGGTCAAAACAGTAGTTGCCATGTGTGTTTATCTAGTTGCCGCGTGTGGTCCAACCATAATTGCCATGTATTATTAATCACAGTTGCCATGTGTGTTTATCTGGTTGCCACGTGCGCGCAACTGCAGTTGCCGTGTAGCAAAGAATCACAGTTGCCATGTGTGTGTACCGAGTTGCCACGTTCGCGTAACTGCAGTTCAGTTGCCATATGTGTACCGAGTTGCCACGTTCGCATAACTGCAGTTGCCATCCACAAGGTAGGAGTGTCGTGTGTGTGAAAAGCGGTTCGCCCACACGCGCATGACCTAGGTGGTGGCTGTGTGGGTGAAAAGCAGTTTGCCCACACAACTCAGCTGGCAAACAGCGTGGTGCGGGTGTGTGGGCAAACTCTCCAACGCCCACACACCAGCCCCGTCCTACGTGGCACACCAAATCCACCTTTTCGTGTCAAGATTCGTGCAAAAGACAGTGAACGATGATTCAGACGTGTGGGCGAGTTGGACAGCGCCCACACGTGTGGGCGTTAACATTTCCGTTAATATATAATCCCCTTTCTTCAAATCAGTATATTTTCCTCTCCTATTTTTACTTTTATAACTACCTTCTTTTCGATTTATAGGGCTCAATTCAAAAAATCTCACCAACCAAGATAGATGATGAGTGGTGGAATAATTTTCGTGGTTTGTAAAAGCACTCAATTAATGCGTTCATTTTTCTTAAAGAAATGTGTTTATCAATGCATTAATTGCAATGCATGCATGCATAAAGTAAATGCATTGGTCAAGTTTCTCATAATCCTTGCATGCAATGAATTAATGCACCTTAAAATCTGAGCATGTGACGAGGAACAATCAAATTAAGACTTATAAAATGGGAAGCCAATTATTTTTAGATAAGCCATATAAATCGGGAAGGAGGGAGTAATATATAATCCCCTTGCGCTGGTTTCATTTATTTTATTTTTTATTTTTGTGAGGAAAAGGGGAGTTTTATTCCAAAGTTAAACAAGCGGTGCTATAGACACTGCCACTCTGTTCTGGTCCCTAGAAATTTTCATAGGAACAAACTCCGTACTGACCATAAGACTCCGATCTCTAAAATAAGATGACCATAAGCTAACCGATCCAGGGCCTCAGATAACGACGATAGGCTGTTGAGAAATCCGATTGAATCACCACTGATTGCATGGAGCTCGGCTTCAAGAGCATCATTACAAACGAGTAAATGACGGTATGCAGCAAAGATTACGCTCCCGTCATTCCTTCTTAATATCATACCTGACCCTGCCGTCCCGTCCGAGGAGAAGGAGCCATATTTTTCCGAGGGCACGACAACAATGTATGTGGATTGGGAATTTGGGATGGGATAATTTTTTATTTTCCCTGTCCTGAATTCTAAAACTTTCAAAAATCTCTGATTTTGCAAAAAATGAAACATAATATGAGATCAAGCAAAGATTTGTGCTACTACACGCATGATAAGCTGAACTTCACCGTGGAAGGAGTTTTCCTATACAAAAGGTGTTTCAGCTATTTGGTGGTTGGCGTGGTTCTCCTCTCATGCAGCTGGCTACTTGTTCTTGTCAAGCCACGCAAGAATTCCTTTCTCCGACTCCGTGAGCTCCTCCGCTGGCTTCTCTCTAACCGAGCCTTCCATGAAACCGAAATAATCCTTGTAATTCCTCTTGTAAAAGTCGTCCAGCCTCTGGAACATATGAGAAAACAGCAGAACATAGTTAATTGCAACCACGGCGTAGAAGCTCTTGTTGATCAATCTGTTGCTCCAGTGAACTTATAGTGATAAAATTAACAACATTCTAAAGAGGCTGCAGCTGAATTCACCTGATAATTAAACTAGTACTCCGTATGATATTCGTGTTTTAACAGTGTAGTCTGGGTTTGCAGATGGCACAAGGTTCCCTATTTAAATCAGAGACATCTACTGCAAAACCAACAAACTGGAACATGTACTACGACAAAGGGTAGAAAGTCACAGCACACGTCAAACTTCCTCAAGTTTTTCACGAAAAATGGAAAAGCAAAGGGACAATAGGCGTAAAGCAACTGAAGCGATGAAATTAGGACCATATGGACCCAAGTGAGTAGTTGGAAAAAAAGACTCATGATTTAACACTGAAATGCATAACAAAAGCAAAAGGCTTCTTCCATTAGACATGATGGGATACCACAGAAACAATTGAAGGAAGGCCACACATACCTCCTTGTCATTCTTCTCTTTGTTTTCCTTTGACCTCTTCACATAATCTACACATATGCAGGCAGAATCATACGTGAACAGCAAACTGACCACAAATACTAGACCCTGAAAATTGGACCAGATGCTTACATACCTTGCAATAGCGCCTTTCTTGATTCACTGGCCTCGGGTATGGCTGCGGCGGATGCCAGCAGAGTGAGGAGGCACCTCCTGTTAACTCCATTCCTCTGAGCCAATGTGACCAGTGGCTGGAGATGATTTGCCGCTGATTGGCCAAGAGATGAAGCTGCTGTGACCGGCCTTCTGATTGTGTCCATCAGCTTACCTGGAGGCTGAGCCATGGGATGAGATGAGTTTGCTCTCTTGATTTCCTACATGGAAGCGTCGCCAGGTTGCTGCTACTTGATATGATATGATGAAATCCTGGAATGGACCAAGGCCACAGGTTTTTCTCTGGATGGAAACACACAGGGGCAAATCTGACAATATGCAGTCCTCTGTTTCCAAAAAAAAGACAATATGCAGTCCTGCTTGGGTTTTGGACAAGTCACACCTCAGCCTGTTTGATATTTATACCTTCTTCCATTTAACATTTTTTGCCTTTCTGGTATCTGCATTTTATTTTTATTTTTCTTAGACCACATATTTGAATTACTTCTCTTGCCTTTATCTCGACATTTCCGCAACAAATTTCTAGTAATACATTCTGATTAAAAAAGAAAATGTACAGAGCAAGAGAAAAGTTCTCTTGTCCACTGTCAGGTAACTGTACAAAATAATAGTACAAATGTATATATAAATGGTATCCATTTTATGTTTTTTTTCTGATTTTACAAAAATGTAACATACTGTCAGATCAAGCAAAGATTTGTGCTACTGCACAGATGAGATGACAATGATGAAACAGAACAAGTTGCACCAGGTTTAAGAGGCAAGTGAGGTGCTATATGCTAAGCTTATTAACTCATTGAGAACTTCACCGCGGAAGGAATTTTCCTACAGAGAAAGCTGTATCAGCTATTTGGTTGGCGTGCTCCTCCCATGTTCAACACTAGCTACTTGTTCTTGTCCAGCCACGCGAGAATCCCTTTCTCCGACTCCGTGAGATCTTCCGCTGGCTTCTCTCTGACCGGGCCTTCCATGAAACCGAAATAGTCCTTGTAATTCCTTTTGTAAACGGCGTCCCGCCTCTGGAATATATGAGAAAACAGCAGCACAATTAGTTGCAACCACGGTGTAAAATCTCCTCGGTCAATCTGTTAGTCCAGTAAACTTATAGTGATAAAATTGACAACATTCTGAAGAGGCCTGCAGCTGATTTCACTTGAGACTTAAACTAGTATGATGGTTTGCAGGTGGCACAAGGTCCCCTATTTAAATCAGAGACATCTACTGCAAAACCAACAAACTGGAACATGTACGACAAGGGTAGAAAATTACAGCACAGGTCAAACCATCCTCAAGTTTTTCGTGAAAAATGAAAAAGCAAAGGGACACCAAGTATAAAGCAACCGAAGTAATGAAATTGAGAGCATATGGACCCAAATTAGTACTCCCTCCATCCAGAAATACTTAGAAATGTATAAAAATAGATGTATCTAGAACTAAAATACATCTAGATGCATTTATTTCTCCGACAAGTATTTCGGGACAAAGGGTTGAAAAAAGGCTCATGATTTCATAAAGAAATGCATATAGATTGACTCGAAACAAAAATAAAAGGCTTCTTCCATTAGCAATGATGGGATATCAAGGAAACAGTTCAAGGAAGGCCACATACCTCCTTGTCATTCTTTTCTTTGTTTTCCTTTGATCTCTTCACATAATCTACAAATGCAGGCACAACTATTTATCTATCCAAGGTGAACAGCAAACCGACTGCAAACATCAGATGCAATAAACCCGGAAAATCCCAGATGCTTGCGTACCTTGCAATAGGGCCTTTCTTGATTCACCGGCCTCAGGTATGGCTGCGGCGGATGCCAGCAGAGTGAGGAGGAACCTCCTGTTAACTCCGTTCCTCTGGGCCAAGGTGGCCAGATGCTTCGCCGCTGAATGATGAAGAGATGAAGCTGCTGCGACCGGCCTTCTGATCGTGTCCATCAGTTTACCTGGAGGCTGAGCCATGGGGCGAGATGAGTTTGCTCTCCTGTGTGCTCTCTTAATTCCTAAATGGAAGCGTTACCAGGTTGCTAGATGTTGAAACCCTGGAATGGACCAAGGCCACAGATTTTTCTCTGGATGGAAACAGACAGGGGCAAATCTGACAACATACAGAACTGTTTATATATGTAAACATTCTTCCATTAACATTTTTGCTTTCCTGGTATCTGCATTTTATTTTTATTTTTGGGCCACGTGTTTGAATTATTTGTGTTGCCTTTATCTCCACATTTTTCCAACATAATGTCTGGTAATACATTCTGATTAACACAAAATATACATACTGTACAAAATAATAGTACAAATTTGTGTATAATGATGTGGGCAGAGTACAGGTTGTCATCCATCGAAATAAGCCCATGCCTCCACACATGTAAACCTACCTATGATCTAGTATCAAAACTTACAGGGGGGCACCTGTTAAAAGCATACATCAACCATAACCCAGCACAGTGGGCGCTAGCACTAACAATGGCTGCAGCGCGCTTGGTGCGAACTTCCGAGCAAACAGGAAGCATGTTGTCGAATTTTGATTATTGTATAAACAAGTCCGTCCCGTTTGAACTCTTCTCAGGAATTCCTCAGTGATATCACCCCTACCAAACGTGGCTGGATGTGCACCGCCTCTCGACCAGTCTACCCAAGTGACACTTCTGTTAGCAAGGCTTTGTGGGGCTTCAATCGTGAGCATTGTAGGGAAATAGTGTTCGTCGACATAACAATGAGGCCTGCAGAACTCCTTGAATTTCGGGTAATAGCGTGTGTCTCTGATGATCTCGATGCCAAGATCTCTGTCTACTTCAAACCATTGCGAGCCTTTGCGCCATTGTTCGAGCTCAACCTCAGGGGTCATGTTATAATTATATCGGCCCCGTCCATATGGCCCAGGATCATCAAACACCATGACAAAGCTTTGGCTTGAATTCTGAAAGTATTCGTATGTGGTGTTGAAATCAAATATGGGAATGCATGACTCGGACACAAGCACAAACCACTCATTAGATATATCCAGCAAAGCATTTGCCAGCAGGCGTCTCTCAGCATCACACATGGTCATCTGACCCCATTCCGCAACCTGTGAGCACCAAACAGATCACACATTAATTTCAGGTACACGGTCATCTCAAGTTCTGAACACAACAGGGAAGGTAAAGATTTGCTTTTAGTCTTCCTGCATGGGTGTGTTGCCAAATTACTACTTGATATGCGGAAATCCTGAAAGGAGAAGTCATAGGTTGTTCTCGGTGAAAGAAGACAGAGACAAGTCTGACCAATTGCAGACCTGCTTGGGTTGTGGTCAAGCTGGAAATGTTTCTCTCCTGACAGACTGTCTAGAAAATGGCTCTACTAGGCCATACGCTGCCGCATACAAGGAATGGGTTATAAGTTCTGGTTAGAGCCCTAGCTATGCCTGTTCTAGAGTTCTCTGACTCTACCTATTATAGTACAAGTTCCAGTTAGGGCGCGGTGGCTACTAGATATATGGGTGACAGAATGCATACTACTACCAGTTACTGATTTTAAGAATCTTGCCCCAGAGTAATATAGTTAGTAACAGGTGGATCACATCATGTAGGCCTAAAGTTAACTCCAAAAGGTACATAAATACAGTACCGTAATCCAGACCTATCAGGGCTATCAATCAACACCATACACCGACTAAACTTTCCGAGTTTTCGTTATAATGGTGGTCCATACTCACGAAGGTACCTCGCTGTACCTACATTTTCTCCTTAAATGCAAAAATGCACAGTTCTTTTGTATATTTAAAAAACAAATGTAACAAAGGAAGTTCAGAAATTTTCACTGTCAACAACTGTTTTAATCACCCAAGCTGGCAGGCGACATGTGAATTGATCATAGGTTCCTTACTGTAGTAACTAGTAAGTAGAACCACAGCTCAGTGTAATGGCTGAAACGTTGGGATTCAGTTACAAGTCTGTCATAGTATCACATATGAAGTCGTGGAGTAACACTACAGTACAGTACAGCTCAATGTGGTACAATCTTGGCAGTTGGCACTACGATTGAATATGGTTTGCTGTTGGTATCACTGGATCAGCATGAGTAGGCAGGCCACCTATCACACTGGAACGGTGTCTTGCTAAGTTGAGTATGCGATCACACTACTGGTCTACTACGGCATGAGGAGGCGAGGTCGAGCACGCGAGAGGGGAGCTAACTAACCTTACTGGGGATTTGCCGGTGGTAGAAGACGGAGTCTTTGGTGAAGTTGGCGCGGTAGGAGGGCAGGGCGTGGACGTAGACGGAGTAGCGGCCCTCGTGTCCCCGGAAGAAGCGCTCCCAGAGCGGCGCGAGCGGGAGCGGGCCGCGCGTGAGGAACATGAAGGCGACCTTGGGCACGCGGCGGAACGGGTAGGGGCGGACCCGCGGCGCGAAGGACGCGCGCCAGAGCAGCTCCTCGTCCGTCATCGCGTGGCGCGCGCGCGAGGGGGCGCGGGTCCAGCGCTCGAGCCCCTCCAGCGGCTGCTCCTCCCCCGCGCCGGCGGAGGCCCCGAGGCAGGGGCGGAAGATGGCCGGCGCGGCGGCCGCCAGCGTGTGGCGCGCCATGTACATGCCGGCCGCGGAGAGGCCGACGCCGAGCAGCAGGAAGCCGAGGAAGACCTTGAGCATCCCGGTGGGGAACACCCTCCCGCCGCCCTGCCCCGGCGCCCCCAGCCTCGCCTCCTTCATGTCCTCCATGGACGCCACCCGCGCCTGCATCGCGCCCGCCGGCCGGCTCGCGGCTGGTGGTGGTGCTGCTGCTGCTACCGGGAGCTAGGTGATGGAATCTGGCAGATTTGAGGCCGCGCGTGGCATGCTCCGGGCACGAGGCCGGGTCAGGGGCGCGCCGAATCGAGGGGCAACACGTAGGTTGGATGGGGGGCTAGATCTGGGGAGGGGCGGGC